CCGTCCATGCTTTTAGCCGCCACCACCTCCTGTGGCAGTCAATTCCATGTGTTAATCACTCTTTGGGTGAAGAAGTACTTCCTTTTATCTGTTCTAACCCGACTGCTCAGCAATTTCATTGAGTGCCCACGAGTTCTTGTATTGTGAGAAAGGGAGAAAAGTATTTCTTTCTCTACCTGCTCTATCCCATGCATAATCTTGTAAACCTCGATCATGTCACCCCTCAGCTGTCGTTTCTCCAAGCTAAAGAGCCCCAAGCGCTTTAACCTTTCTTCATAGGGAAAGTGTTCCAACCCTTTGGTGTAGTGGTTAAGTGTGCGGACTCTAATCTGGGAGAACCGGGTTTGATTCCCCACTCCTCCACTTGCACCTGGCTGGATGACCTTGGGCAAGCTGTAGTTCTGATAAGAGCTGTTCTTGAAAAACAGCAGTTTCTGTCAAGAGCTCTCTCAGCCCCACCTACCTCACAAGGGTGTCTGTTGTGGGGAGGGGAAGGGAAAGGAGTTTGTAAGCCGCTCTGAGACACCTTTGAGTAGTGAAGGGCGGGGGTATAAATCCAATCTCTTCTTCTCTTCTTCTTCTTTATCATTCTAGTTGCCTTTTTCTGCACTTTTCCCAATGCTATAATATCCTTTCTGAGGTGTGGTGACCAGAACTGCACACAGGATGGCAACCCTTCCTATCTTGCTTCTTCCTCCCCCTTCTCCAGATCCCCAAGTCCTTGGTGCCCCATTATTGTGAGCTGGTTGGTGCCAACCCAAAGCTGCGACCCAACCCTGCCAAGTTCCTGCAGAACTGCTGCGGGCCGGGCGGCTTCATGGACAACCACTTTGTGGAGACCAACCTCTTCCTGGAGGAGATCCAGGTAAGTGAAAGGCGAAGCGAGTTCTCTGTGTTCCTTGGTAGAGGAACTTTCTTTGCACACAGAAGGCCCCCCGGGTTCAGCTCCCAGCATCATTTGTGGAAGATTTCTCTGCCTCTGACCTTGGAGAGCTGATACCAGTCAGAGTGGACAGCATTCTTGTAGATGGACTATCACACATGAACACACACGTGACCATCAAGGTCAGTATTGTCCACTCAGACTGGCAGTGGCTCTCCAGGATCTCAGAGGTCTTTCACATCTCCTCCTACCTGGTTCTTTTAACTGAAGATGCTGGGGATTGAACCTGGGACCTTCTGCATGCCAAGCAGATGCTCTACCGCTGAGCCACAGCTCTCCCATCAATGAGGAAGCTGTGTTTGAAGGTCTACTTCAGTGGGTCTGCTGGGCAAGGGTCAGCGGTCGTCTTAGAGAGTACCTGGAAGAAAATCTCTTACCTAAAGTTTTGATGCTGGTGCTCTGCAAGGGGCGAAGATGCTTGGTATTAGTGGAGCAACAGGTCGCTAGACTGGGAGTCAGGCAGGTAGGGGGGCTTTTAGGTGGTCCTCCTTCCTGGGTGAAGTGTTCCCACGCCCAGGGGATGAGGCTCAAATGTTTGGGGATATAGAGCACGTGGTCTGGAAGTCCTCTGGGGATGCAGGCTCCTGGGTGGCCGGGCTAGGCCTTTCCAGGGCAGTAAACCTGCCCTCACTGGGGATGGGGTGGGGAAAATAAGCCGAAAAGAGCCCATGTGACTCATCCATCCTGGCTGTGTTTCTGGCCTCGTTGCCCGTTCCTTTCTGATGAGCCTTCCCTCCGGGAAAGGTGGTGGATGTGACCCAGCGACTTCCCTCCCCCAGATTAAGGAGCCTGCCGAGCGGCAGAAGTTCTTCCAGGAGCTCAGCACCCACCTGGACACCTTTCCGGAGGATTTCTGCCGCCACAAGGTCCTCCCACAGCTCCTGACGGCATTTGAGTTTGGCAGTGCTGGCGCCGTCATCCTCACCCCACTCTTCAAGGTGAGCTCAACAGGTGGGGACCGGGGGGGGGGGATGGGACCGGGCCCCATATGTGTGACGCCCCCTGTGTTTTTGTTCTGCGTTTTCTTAAGCCTGGCGGAGGCCGATTGATGTCTCCATTATGGGACGTCCAAAGAGGAATGAACAAGTTGCCCCAGCAGGGGTAACTTTAGCAATGCTACCATGGTCTTTGATATGAATCAGTGGTGAACTGTTGGGGTGGGATGGAGGGCAGTGCCCTGTGGAAGTAGTGCTGGCACCTCTCTGCGCTCTCCACAAAGTACGGGACTTACTGTAAATATACAGTTGGCGCTGGGTAAAAATTACGGCTTATTAAACCAGCTGCTTTTTAGCCAGCTGATAGCATTTTAAATAAAATGCAGATTAGCTTTTGAGGAGGTGGAAGGAACCCTTAAGGTAGCTCATAGCCTGGGGTGGGAAAGGCTGCTTCTCAGTCTGGAAACGAGAAGTTGTTTCTGATACTTTTCCAGTTTGGTGTAGTGGTTAAGTGTGCGGACTCTAATCTGGGAGAACCGGGTTTGATTCCCCACTCCTCCACTTGCACCTGGCTGGACGACCTTGGGCAAGCCCTAGTTCTGAAGCGGTTCTTGAAAAAAGAGCAGTTTCTCTACGTAATAACAGCCGCTAGATTGCTATTGGCTAAAAAATTGGAAATCCGAGGTTATACCCAAGAGGGAAGACTTAACAGTCAAAATACTGGAGTTACCACGAATGGATGATTTGAGTTTGAGGTTGCAGAACAGGAATGAAAAGGTACATGAGATGGGGAAAAGTGTACAATGGGATAGGAGAGTTGTCTTGTGATTAGTGAATTTAAAATGTATTTACGAATTAAGTGATGAATGACTCTGATACGTATGTAAGATATAAAGAGGGAATGTATAAAGGTAAACTTGGGAACGAAATAAAAAATTTATATATAAAAAAGAAAAAGAGCAGTTTCTGTCACTCAGCCCCACCTACCGTACAGGGTGTCTGTTGTGGGGAGGGGAAGGGAAAGGAGATTGTAAGCCGCTCTGAGACTCCAAGTCAGTGAAGGGTGGGGTATAAATCCAAACTACTCCTCCTCCTCCTCTTCTTCATACACCCCAAAGAAGATCGCAAAAACCTTGGCTGTGCCATCCCTAAGCAGAATTACACCATTCCAAGCCCATTGACCTCAAAAGTCTTGGAAGGGTGTAACTTCACTTAGGTCGGCACTGCTGGTGTCCGCTTCCAGCCCCGCTGGTTGAACATGGACCCTTCCTAATGTATTAAACATCATTTATACATACTAATACTGTACATTGAAGCGATGCTTATGTACTTTTACAGCTCTTACTTGATGTTTTGTAATTGTGTTCGGTATAGCTCAATAAAGTCTTGAGCTTCAAAAAAAAAATAGAAAAAGAAAGAACAAACATGGACCCATGTGGATGAGTTGGCTGAAGCTTGTTGCCCTACCAGAATTCCTAGAAAGCTATCAAAGGACTCTTTTTGTGGTGTGCGCAAGTGTACGGGAGAAATTGTGGGCCGTTTCTTGCCTGGGATTAACAGGCGTCTCCTCCTTCCTTTGTCGTTCCAGGTGGGGAAGTTCCTGAATGCCCAGGAATACCAACAAAAAATCATTCCTGTTATTGTGAAGATGTTCTCTTCCCCAGACCGGGCCATGAGGATCCGCTTACTGCAGCAGGTGCATGAGCTTCTCTGGCCAGGACATTAGATTTGTGTGTGACGCAGAGGGGCTTTTAGTGGCTCAAGAGGACAGCCAGGAATGGGGGGGTGGGGGAGGTTGCTCTGACTCCTGGGTTCAAACTTAACAGTGCACGCCTAAGCAGGTCTACTTAGGATCCTGCCGGAGTCTTTTCTGTGGGACTTGCTCCCACTGAACTTGCTCAGGCTTGTACTGAAGGTGATGTGGAGTCCAGGTAGGACTGTGGGGCAGGACATCTTGCAGTGTGGGGATGCTTGAGGCAAGTGAGCTAAGCACGGGACTCTCCCCCTTTCCCAGGGCCATTTGTTGTGGGGCTCTAAGCAATGCTCCCTCTAAGCCAGTGATGGCGAACTTTTTAGAGACCGAGTGCCCAAACCGCGACCCAAAACCCACTTATTTATTGCAAAGTGCCAACACGGCAATTTAACCTGAATACTGAGGTTTTACTTTAGAAAAAACCACTCATACATTAACTTAAGATGATCCAAACAAAGTAAGGAAAGCAATCCCAAATGCTTTCATTTACTTAAAATTATTTGGCAGAGAATTTGACACTTTAATGATGGTCTGGGCCTGGCTGGGGCGATGGCACGTGTGCCCACCCGTGCCATAGGTTCGCCACCACTGCTCTAAGCCCTGGAGTCTTGTGAGCAAAAATTCTACTTTGTGAGCTACTGGCATTAAAGTTACGAGCAAGTGATTTGACTACTGCATAAATTAGCTTGCTCTGGAGCCATCCTTCCTGAGCTGAGACAAAAATGTATGAGCCGTGGTATAAAAAACTGTCCACTAGCTCACGCTAACCCAGCTTCGAGGGAACACTGGCTGTAAGTATAGGGTGCTGGCTTTTGGTTCCGGTCATCAGGATACGTTGGGTGGGGGACAGGTAGAGAGAGGGCTCGGGCTTGGTCGGGGTCTTTGCATTCTGACAGCTCTTGGGGAATGTGCCTCAGTTGAGGGCCCCTCGTGCCCGTTCCTGTCAAAGCTCAGAAGCTCAGCAGGGTCAGCCACGGTCCGTGCTTGGATGGGAGACCTCCTTGGAAGACCAGGGTTGCCACGCAGAGGAAGGGGGTGGCAAAACCACCTCTGCTCCCCTCTGGCCTCGGACATCCCGTGGCTGGAGTCAGTTGTGAATCAGTGGCAAATCAGTGGCACAGTTCTTCTTCCGATGCTGGCGAGTCCTTTGCTGACCCTTGCCCTTGGTCTGCCAGATGGAACAGTTCATCCAGTACCTGAACGAGCCCACCGTCAACACCCAGATCTTTCCCCACGTCGTTCATGGTTTCCTGGACACCAACCCGGCCATCCGGGAGCAGACAGTGAAGGTCCGTGAGTATGACTTTTTTGGAGGGTGGGGGGGGGGACAGTCTGCAGAAAGCCCGGTTCTTTTCCTGTCTCCCTAGAGTGCTCCAAGCCTGCCTTGTCCCTCTGTCTTGTGGGAAAAGGCACCTGGGGCGGGGGGTGGGGGGCCCTTTTTGGGTCAAAACCCAGCCGGACACGGGAGCCGCTGCAATCCCTGGAGAGAATAGGGCCGCTTTTTAAGCTACAATTGGGGTCCCAAAACAACTTCCAGGAGTGAAAATCTGTAATAGAGACGATATTGAAGTGCAACACAGATGTTCCCTCGGGAGGGGGATTCTCAGCTGAGCTGGTTGCAGGCCTGAGGGAAGGTGTCCAGCTGTTTCCTCCTCCCCCAAATGGTGCTTGGAAGCCGGAGGGAGGACGTGGAGCCTGGGCTGCTTCCTGCTCTCCCTCTCTTCACATCCTCTTTACCACCCCACCACCCCTTTTGCAGTCGATGCTGCTTCTGGCTCCCAAGCTGAACGAGAACAACCTCAACGTGGAGCTCATGAAGCACTTTGCCCGCCTCCAAGCCCGGGACGACCAGGGGCCCATCCGCTGCAACACCACCGTGTGCCTCGGCAAGATCGGGCCCTACCTGAATGCCAGCGTGAGTGCCAGCCGCTCGCTGAGGGGCTTCCTCTCCAGAAGCCTGAGGGAAGGGGGGGGGTTCTCCTCTCCATTTTGGCTGTTGGATCTTCAGTGGAATTGGGGTTGGGGGGAGAGCTCCTCCTCCCTCCTTGCTCGAGGGCAAGTCCGGATTTTGTGAAACTTAAGGACAGACAGAGTGGGGTAGTGGTCAGATGCTCAATCAGCCCTGAAGGTCACTGGGTGACCTTGGGCCTCTCTCTCTCTCTCTGTCTAAATGGTGTCACAGGATTGTTGTGGGGTTAGAACTGGGGGGGAGGGGGGGAGCAGCCTGAATAGCCCAGCTTAGCCTGGTCATTATCGGACCTTGAGAGCGAAGCTAGGCTGGCCAGGAGACAGCCAAGGAAGACTGGGGATACTTCATGGAGGCAGGCAATGGCAAACCACCTTTGTTCCTCTATTGCAGTGGTGGCGAACCTATGGCACAGGTGCCAGAGGTGGCACTCGGAGCCCTCTCTGTGGGCATGCGGGCCATCGCCCCAGCCAGGCCCAGAGCATCATTAAAGTGTCAGATTCTCTGCCAAATAATTTTAAGTAAATGAAAGCATTTGGGATTGGTTTCCTTACTTTGTTTGGATCATCTTAAGTTAATGTGTGAGGTGTTTTTTCTAAAGTAAAACCTCAGTATTCAGGTTAAATTGCCGTGTTGGCACTTTGTGATAAATAAGTGGGTTTTGGGTTGCAGTTTGGGCACTCGGTCTCTAAAAGGTTCGCCATCTATTGCCTCGATCACACTATGGGTGGCGTCACCATGAGTCAGTTTCAGCTTGGCATCTTCTTCTTCTTAGAATGGGGGGCGATAATCACATAGGCCACCCCAAGTTCCTTGTAGGAAGCATGGGACAAAAATTGTACTAGGTAGGTTGATCATGTCGTGGTTTTAATTTTCTAAACTGTAAAGCTTTCTTTATTTACCTGCTTCTTGAGAGCATTTTACTGCACTTTTGCGTTGGATTGGCTATAGCGTAACCTACAGGGCTATTGAACCCTAATCCTGCCTGTGGCGCCCTCCACAGAGGAGCGGAGTAGAACAGTTCACAGATGCATTCAGACTTCCGGTCTCAGATGGCGACTCTGTGCTGACAATGCTCCCAGGCCTCAGTTCAGCAGTGGCTTGCTATATGAACCAGAATGCCTCTTAGTAGCAACACTGGCAACAGGGGTGATCTGCCTCCACCCCAGAATGTCCTCTCTGGCACCACCTGGTGCCCCCCACCTGCATATAGACACTTTGCCTCTAAACACACCAAAAAAGACACTGTTTGATTGATTCTTGTGTCTTGTGCCCACAGAAGAAGTGTGTGGATCAAGTAGCAGGTGATGAGAAAAACCAGGAAAATGCAGCTGGTCAGAATAGATCATGCTGACCTAACTCGGTACAAGCTTACCATGTTGGGATGAACCGTTTCAAGGACAGATGCACAACCAACCACCCCCGGCTCAGACTGTTTTACTGGAGCATTTAAAAAGCCACTTAATTGGTATATTTGGCCAGGAATTATAGAATGAGGTAGCGCAGGGACCCATCACGTGTCGGGGTGCCTGTGTATATGGGAGCAGGAGAACTGGGTGGAATATTAAGGCCACCCCACCAGGCCAACTAAGCCAAGCCCCTTCCTTTTGAAATAACGGGGTCCAGCTGGCATTCGAAGACTCTCCCCAGATTCTCTGAGACGACTGACGCTCACCGCTGGCTCTCCTCTTTGCAGACGAGGAAGAATGTCCTGATATCAGCCTTCAGCCGGGCCACCAAGGACCCCTTTGCCCCATCCCGGGTGGCTGGCGTCCTGGGCTTTTCAGCCACCCACAACTTCTTCTCCATGAGCGACTGTGCCTTCAAAATCCTGCCCGTGCTCTGCACGGTAACTATGGACCCAGAGAAGTCAGTCCGGGACCAGGTGAGCTTCAAGGATGCAAAGGGAAGCTTCCTTGATGCTTGATTGGCTGGAGGGAGGGGGGAGCACAGTATGAGTGGGCAGCCTCTGTGACTTTTATGGTCCAGCGGTGGGGAACTGGCTGGCTTCCTATGGTTGCGGCCTGGGGGGGGGGGGGGGGAAGGTGAAGTTTCTGCCTACCTTTTACAGTCTGCCCATTGCTGCGGTATGGATCCAGCCTGTTGTCAAGGCTGAGTGGCCTGGGCGACAAATCAAGGATTCTGCAGAGCAGACCTGACCCGGATAGGCCAGGAAAGCCTGATCTCATCAGATCTCAGAAGCTAAGCAGAGCCGACCCTGGCAAGTGCTTGGAAGGGAGACCTCCAGGGAATACCAGGGCTGGGGTGCTGAGGCAGGCAATAATAAGACACCTCTCTGAAACTTCCATGCCCCAGTAGGGGTTGCCAGAAGTCAACCATGACTTCCAGGCATGCACACACATACTCACCCACTCCCCACCCAAAAAAAAAAAAATTCTGCAGATCAGCAGAGCAAGAACGGGCAGCTCTACAGCACACATGGTGATGAGCCGTAGCACGGCAGACTGTTCTGCTTGGCATGCAGGGCCAGTTCGGAAGCAGGCCCCTGAGGCACTGGCAACATGTGAGCAAGTGGCTGACGAACCTTTGGCCCCCAGTCTGTTCAGAGGGAAACCCCAAGTGTCTTGGCAGAGCTGCAGGGCCTTGAGCTGAGTGTACAGAGCAAAAAACCTAGAGACCTTTGGTGCAGTCTGAGAGTTAATTTTAATTTACCCTGAAACCCCCTATACATTTTGCATAAGCTTCTTCAGGGGGATCTGTAAAACATCATAGTACAAACACTTTCTGCAGCAGAGCGTGGGAAGTGTTCATACTGTATTTTAGAGATTCCCTTGATGAAGCGTACGTGAAAAGCTTAGGGGTCTCGGGGTTAATTAAAATTCTCCTGCTGCACCAGCGATCTCCTGATTTTTGCTCTGTGCTTGGTGTGGCCCTCTTTTCTTCCTCTGGCCAAGCACGGCTTTCCTCTCTTCTCCCCCTCTTGTTTGCTGGCACACCAACACCTTCACAGGTAGACATGTGAGGTTTTGGGGGTACTCAGGCCAAAAAGGTGGCCTTTCTCTACAGCGGCTTGCTTCAACATGCATCATTTACCCAACATTTGAAGCATCTGGATAATATGGTTATTCTCTGATCTGCACTGATTATAGAAGATCTGTGTTTAAGAAGAAGGCTAGAGATTTAAATAATAGTTGAGTTCTTTGTACAGAGACCTCATCCCACAGAATCCCGGGCAATAAATCTGGCTCAGCATACTGGGTCAAGGCATAACAGGGAGATCCAGGGGAAAAAAGCTAAATTTGAGATTCAGAATGAGGGGGAAATGATCAGTAATAATAAAATCACCCAGAGTGAAATCTGCAAAGTAAGTCTTAAGTGAGGGGGAAACCAAAAAATAGTCAATCACACTGCAACCTCGTTTGGTGTAGTGGTTAAGTGTACGGACTCTAATCTGGGAGAACCGGGTTTGATTCCCCACTCCTCCACTTGCACCTGCTGGATAACCTTGGGCAAACCATAGTTCTGGCACAGCTGTTCTTGAAAAAGAGCAGTTTCTGTCAGAGCTCTCTCAGCCCTACCTACCTCACAGGGTGTCTGTTGTGGGGAGGGGAAGGGAAAGGAGCTTGTAAACTGGTCTGAGACTCCTTTGGGTAGTGAAGGGCAGGGTATCAATCCAATCTCTTTTTCTTCTTGATATAAAAGTAAATTCACCAGAGTTGAGAAAGTTAGTTAACCCATTCAACCGGATTCTGTTAAATTGGGCACAAAATTTAGCAAGGCAAATCCCTGCCTTTTGTTTGCTGGCTCACCAACACCTTCACAGGTAGACATGTGAGGTTTTGGGGGTACTCAGGCCAAAAAGGTGGCCTGTCTCTACAGTGGCTTGCTTCAACACGCATCATTTACCCAACATTTGGAGCATCTGGAAAATCTGGTTGTGCCCCGATGCTGGAGGGAGTGCTGTCGTGTGATGCTAGAGGAGAAGGTGGAACTTCACAGGAAAGGAGATGACAGCCGGTTTGCTGCAGAGGAGGCATCGTCCCTTGGAAAAGCTCTGACTGGCAATGCCTGTTTGCTTCCTTCCTCTCCTCAGGCATTCAAGGCTATCCGGAGCTTCCTGACAAAACTGGAAACAGTTTCTGAAGACCCGGCTCAGCTCCCTGAACTTGGTGAGCGCCCTTGGGAACTGGGAAGGAACTAGGTGTGGATGTGGGGCTGGTCGTCTAAGGAGGCAGGGTCAAGCTGAACCCTTCTGCCGTCTCTTTTAGAGAAGGATGTCCACGCCGCCTCTGCCAGCCCTGGGGCAGGGGCAGCCGCCAGCTGGGCAGGGTGGGCTGTGACGGGCGTCTCGTCCCTGACGTCGAAGCTGATCCGGACCAATGCGGGGGCAGCACAAGCGGCAGAGAACACGCCTGAGGGGACGCCAGCCAGTGCCACGCCAGAGGCCCCCAAAGCAGGTCAGTGGGGACTGGAAAACCTCCTCCTCCTACCCCACCATAAGAACATAAGAGAAGCCATGTTGGATCAGGCCAGTGGCCCATCCAGTCCAACACTCTTGTGTCACACAGTGGCCAAAACCCAGGTGGGTATGTTGGGTACCAGTTGGGGATGTGCTGCCATGGAGAGCGGAAGCAAGCTGTGGCGGCCCCATGAAAGAATGGGGTGGAGGGTCTAGGGCAGGTGGTTGTCCAAGTCCCAGTTGGCTGCTTCCACGTGCCTGGCGAACGGCAGGACCCCACTGCAGCGTGGCTTCTGGCCAAGTCTCGTTTCAGCAGCCAAATACAATCTTCTGCCTTTTAAAGGGACTGGGCAGCCCCCTGCCCCAGAGGTGAGAGCGCCCCCCTCATCCAACCATTGGGACCTGGAGGAAGACGTGACGGAGGAGGACAGCTTGGCTGACCGGTGGGACGATGAGGACTGGGGCAGTTTGGAGGTAAGGAGGGGAGGACTCCTGCGGAGCTTGCTTGGCCGGGAATTGCTGAAAGTGTAGGCCTGGGCCTGGATTTGTGGGTCTGTGGGTTGGGGCTTTCTGGAACGCCTGGACTTCTACTCCAGCCAAGGGTCCCCTCTTCTCTAGCTTGTGCTGCCGAAACCATCAGTTGCCAGGAAACCAGCCTACGAAAAAGCACCGTCCTCAGCAGGGCTCTTTTTGTAGAAAAAGCCCAGCAGGAACTCATTCGCATAATAGGCCACACCCAACAGCAGGAACTCATTAGCATATTGGGCCACACCCCTGACAGCACAGCTCATTAGCAAATTCGGCCGCACCCCCATGTTACCAGAAGTGTGGTTATCCAGCCACACCCACCTTTTGCTTCTTATTCTGTTTACCTTGTTTGTTGTCAAAACCCAGGGCCTTTTTTTGTAGCAGGAACTCCTTTGCATGTTAGGCCACACACCCCTAATGTAGCCAATCCTAATGAGTTTCTGCTGTTGGGTGTGGCCTATTATGCTAATGAGCTCCTGTGGGGCGTGGCCAACTTGGGAGCCAGCCGGAACTCCGTTCCTGTGCGTTCCTGCCCAAAAATAGCTCTGGTCCTCAGACATTTACAGTTTTACCACATTCTAAATTGTTTTGTACCTTTTTTTAATGTAAACCTCTTTGAGAACAATCGTGTGGGGAAAGCTGCATGTAAATGTCCTAAACAAGGAGACAGCGGGAGGGTGGGCTTGGAGGCGCCACTGCTGGCTGCTCCCGCTTGGCCGTCCCTGGTGGAGGGAGCGCCGTTGCAGAGCTGAGGCCTGGAACGCCTTGAGGACTGAGCTCGTTTTCTTTCTTGGTCCGCAGCAAGAGGCCGAGCAGCAAAAGAGACCCGGCAGCTCAGAGGACTGGAACAGCCCGGGATGGCAGGAACCAGCGTCGGCAGCCAAGAAAAGTGGAGGCAGGACGGTAAGTCTGGGCCTGGGAGCCCCCTCGGTTGACACCGACTCCCCCGGAACTCCCATCTTCATTTGCTGAGTGGGGTTGGCTGTGGAGACACGTCAGAAAGGCCTCTTGAGCACTGTGGGGGGGGGGACGTTTTGAGGAACGCGAGGGTTGCAGCGTACGTCAGTCCACTGTCTAGTCACATGGATTAGGGACCTGCTTGTATTTTCTGCACAAGAAGGGCCTTCTGAACTCTGTCCTAGGGAAGGTTTTTCCCGCAGAGAGAAGCCAGGCTTTGAAGCCTGGGGCTTCGAGTGCAGCGGTCTTGTCCTTCGGTGCACGCTGACCCCCTGACAGACTGTTGTGGTGTGCTGCAGGTGACCGGCTCCGACTGGAATGCCTCCGACTGGGAGCTGGAGTCCTCCTGGGGCCACCGGAAGGGGCAGGGCTCCGCGGCGGAGGAGGGCTGGGGCAGCAGTTGTGAAGGGGACCTGACCTCCGGGCTGGCCCCAAAAGCTGCCGTGGCCCCCCAAGAAGGCACCAAGCTGGCCAGCGAGTACAATTGGGAGTGTGTGGCCACGGCACAGAAGCCAGATCCCTTTTCTTCTCTAGCGGTGCAGCCAGTGGCAGACAGCCAGGTACGGGTCTCCATGAACTTTCCACCCCCCACCCCCCCCGGGGGCAGGCCCTTTATTTCCGCCAAGGCTTAGACCTGGGATGGACCGAATGGGTCACATTGACTGAATGTTCGGTACCAGAGGGCATGAGGTGGTTAGAAATGAACCTCTGAATAACAGGATCCAGTAGCACCTTGAAGACCAACACAGCTTACGCTGGAATGCACTGGGGGAGGAGCCATGGTTTAACAGTAGAGCATCTGCTTGGCATGCAGAAGGTCCCAGGTTCAGTCCCCGGCATCTCCAGTTAAAAGGGCCAGGCAGTAGGTGATGGGGAAGACCTCTGCCTGGGACCCTGGAGAGCTGCTGCCAGTCCGAGTAGACTATATTGACTCTGGTGGACCAAGGGTCTGATTCAGTACAAGGCAGCTTCAGGTGTGTGAACTGTTAGTCTTTAATTTATTCTGGCATAAATTCTGTTAATCTTCTGTGATCTTATTCCCTCTAAGATTAGTTGGTGTGAGCTAGCTCATCGTTTTTTAGCTTTTGGCTCACACATTTTTGTCTTCGCTCAGGAAGGATGGCTCCAGAGCAAACTAATTTATGCAGCAGCCAAATCACTCGCTCACAACTTTAATGCCAGCAGCTCAGAAAGTAGGATTTTTGCTCACAAGACTCCACATTGCAGTAACGGTGTCTGAATGCTTGTCTATCAGAGCATCGCCTTCTCTTCGTTGTCACTGTTGGCTGTGTTTGGAGCCTGGAACTGGGGCAGACGGGAGGGGGAGAGAGTGGGTCTCCGTGCTCCCCTCAGGCCAAAGCTTGTGGGTCCACAGTCTCCTTCTCACACACCCCAACATCTGATTCCAGAGAAATACCGAAGTGCTCGGAGACTGGGGCTCAGAAGAAAACTGGGAAGCGCTAGAGTCAGACCATGGTGAGTTTTCCTTTCCCTCCCCGGAATGACTCCCCTGCTGCTGAACTGGAGGCTAGGCTGCATGCCCATGACTGTCTGTCTGTCTGTCTGCCATCCTCGCAGGGCCCAGCAAGGCTGAGCTGGCACGGAAGAAGCGGGAGGAGAGGAGGCAGGAGATGGAAGCCAGGAGGGCGGAGAGGAAGGCGGCCAAGGGACCCATGAAGCTGGGGGCCAGGAAGCTGGATTGATGGCCTTTCTCGTTCCGTTGGGAGGGGCCCCCGTTGCCACTGAAGCTGCCGGAAGGATTTTCCTTGTCCTTGAAGGAGGTTCTAGTGGAGAGAGACTCCGAAGTCACTCTGCAGTTTGCCTGTTTGGAAGAGGGGGCGGGGGTGTGTGTGAAGTGAACTGTTGCAACCGCTCATCACCTGCTGGCCAGACCAGAACTGTCCCTGCCGAGAACGGCTCCAACTTTGGCTTCTCCCATTTGCCTGCAGGTTCCTCCCTGCTGTGGATAAGACTTGAACTCCAAAGGGAGGGGGGGGGAGGGGGGAGAAGTAAGTGTCTCTGCATAGAATAGTTGACTCTGTCCCACTTGTCAGCTGCAGGGTTTTCTGTAGGGAGGAGGGGGGTTAATTATTATTTTTTTGCCTGTCTGAATGTTCTGCAGTTTTATTGGTTTACGTGGAAGACGACTCGGAAAATAAATTAACTTTTAAGGAGCTAGTAGGGAAACTGTCTGCTGCGGTGCACAGACCAAAACTCCTACTCTGTGCTGTTTCTTGGCTTTTCGGAGCCTTTGCCTCCCGAGGGCAGAAGGGGGAAAACTGCTGGATGGGCCCTTCTGGGATTGCCAAAGGCTGTTGGGAGCCCGAGGGTTAGGTACTAGCTCAAGGCACTATGTGGGTGTGGGACAATTCAACAGCTTGCAGGTAAGTCTTCCCCCTCCCCCGCCACCATAAAATAATTGGTTTGACCCCTTTGTGTTTAATTGTTTCCTCCCCAGAGGAAGAAAGGAGCCGTCTGCAAGCTGTGGGTGACTTTTGTTGGGTGTGCGGCTGAGGGAGCAGATGGACAGCTGGAGGGGGGGGGGCTGTTGGCAGGGAGGGATCGGTCTGCCTTGCCCCGGCAAGTGACAGCTGTCTCGGAGGTTGTTTTTTTTTTTGCCCCAACCTCATCCCAACTCGTGCTGGGGTGGTTCTCCCTTCCTCTGTTTAAAAATACTGCAGAAACTAGATTAGCTTTTCAAAAAAAAAAAAAACACCCGTAACGCTCTTGGAAATATTGTTCCCAAAGCAGGGCTCCCCCTTCCCCTGCTGTTGCGGCGGCAGTGGGAAAAGTGGGGAAGATGAGATTCTGGTCGTGCTACTTTCATTGCCATTGAGAAGCAAGAGTAGGCAGTAGCCACCGGGCCATGCCGCTGCCTTCCCTGAGATATGAGCGGTGCATGGGGTGTGTGTGTGGGGGGGTGGGGGGCAGGCTGGCTTAGGCTACTGGCGCAAGTCTTGCTGTGAGCCCCAGGCCATCTTCGAAGCCTGCCGTGCTGCTTTCCTCTTCCTCCCACGCCATCTGGCAGAGGGGGGCGGTTATTCCTCCAGGCGGGCAAGGGGAAATGTAGGTCTCCATCAACCACTGTCTCTCTGCCGCCTTGGAAGAATCCCTGAAGAGGCACCCGTTTTGGCTGTAAGAAGCAGTGCGGCCAAAGGCATGCAGCGGCAGTAGTTTCGGCAGCCCATCCCGTCATGAGTTGGTGCTTTCCTGGCTGGAGTTGCTGTGGGGAGGGTGGCTCCGTGTCCGATCGGAGATCTGCCATAAGGAAATAAGAGCCTCGTCAATAGCTTCTGTGCTGTTCTGTGTTTTCTTAGGGGTGAGTTCTGTTGGGATAGTGGACACCTAAGGAGCCTTTAGGTGTCCACCATCTCAACAGAACCTACCTAGAATCATAGCGTTGGAAGAGACCTCCAGGGTCATCTAGTCCAACCCCCTGCACAATGCAGGAAATTCACAAATACCTCACACACACACACACACACACACACCCAGTGACTCCCATCTCCATGCCCAGAAGATGGCAAAAAAACCATCTGTTTCGCTGGTGAAAAAGGAAGGAGAGGCGCCTTTTGACGATCAAAAAAACTGTGTCATAACTTGCAGGAACCACGTGCACAAAGACCTTGCAGGATGGAGGTGAAATCGAATGAGATCAAGCACTAAAAACTGGTGAGGATCCAACCCCAAAGATGTACCCTCTCCCCAAGAAAGCACTCTGAAGATAGGCAAGGTACACAATAGGGGGAAAGAGACAAATCGGAGTGGAGTTGCATAAGAGCTTCAGGAATCTCCGTACCTTAACCAACATGTCAATGCCAGAAGAAAAACTCAGTGGAGATGTGAAGGAGTCCTCTGACAAGGAACTACCCAACTTGTACTTTCCTATGGGACAGAAAGCAAGAGAGAGGCAGTTACTGTGAAGCATTGAAGGAGAATCCCCGTCCATCCTCTGCAGAAGGCAGGTGTTGCTTATTATGGCCGACCTTGGCCCAAGGAGCCTGGCCTTTCTCCTCTCACTGACATATTGCTTACTCGAGGAGGAGTCTCCTGTCCCGGTGCTATCGCTGCCTGAAGAAGATGGCCGACGGATCTCGGAAAAGCTGCTGCAGCGCAAACGGGCTTGGGCCTCTTGTTTCTTCTCTTCCTGAGCCTGAAATCAGATCGACACCAAAGGGTCAGGTTTTTGAAGTTGGAGGTGGAGGGATAAGCACTGTAAGGTGGAAGAGCATGGTCTGAAGGATGGCAGAAATCAAATCCTTCAAAAAATTCTGCATTAAGCAAAAGCAAAGAACCCAGGTTTCTGCTCCCTGCCCCCCCCCCTTCAAGCAGCATTACTTCCTCTCTTCCGTCCCCTCACTCACCGCGAGCAAGTCCTGCAGCTTATGTTGTTTCTCGCCTGGACCCACGTGGACAAGGTGGTTGAAGTTGCTAGGGCTGGATATGAGCTTGGAGCGGAGGGTAGGGTCCCGCATCATCTCCCTGAGGAACATGGGACAGAGCAAGTGAGCCAGGCGCTTGGGCTGAGACAGGTCATGGCCAGTGTTCCCTCTAAGCTGAGTTAGTGTGAGCCAGCTCACAGTTTTTTAGCCTCCGGCTCACCGATTTTTGTGTTAGCTCAGAGAGGATGGCTCCAGAGCAAACTAATTCATGCAGCAGCCAAATCGCTCGCTCACAACTTTAATGCCAGGAGCTCACCAAGTAGAATTTTTGCTCACAGGACTCCACAGCTTAGAGGGAGCCTTGGTCATGGCCATGCCAGGAACCAAAATACAGCCTTGCAGGAGGAAGGACCCAGATGCCTGCCTCCTTGTGGCCTTCTGGGAGCCTTCAGGCTGTGGGCTGTGCCTTTTGGGAGCCTTCAGACCCCTATAGCCAAGGACTGGCTTCCACCAACCTGGCTGGAGCCTGAGCCGCTGCACTCCTAGCTTGGGACCCTCTGTGTATTCCCCAAGCTCAGCCTCACCTCCTCTGGTTCTGCCGCTCCTCCTCGGAGATGCGGAAGGAGAAGCGGCGCTTGTGCCGAGTTCTCACGAGGTGCCGACGGCTGTTGTCTGTCGTCTCAGGGATTTCAAACTCATCTTGGTCTGGAGAAGAAGGGGAAGAAATTGGTGGAGCACCAGCCACTGTCAACTTGGTTTGATTTCCTTCCCTTTTTCAGTGTGTTTTTTAACAGCCACTTTCAGGGTTTTTCCTCCCTCCAGGTCAAACTGACCTTTCCCTTCCCTCACGCTAGCTGGATTGCTTGGTGGCGACTGACCTTTTCAGTTCAGCGCTCTGTGATCAAGCTTCTAGTCTATTATGTGGAAGCTGAAGTGGCAACTCAAGGAAGCCTTTTCAGACCGAGTCAGCTCTCTGCAGCATAGTTTGGTGGAGCTGTGGTGGTGCAGTGGTTTTGAGTGTCAGACTAAAACCAGTGAGACCTGGGTTCAAATCCTTACTCAGCTCACTGGGTGAATTTAAGGACAGCCATTCTTTCTCAGCCTAACTTTCCATAGACAGAGGAGGGGAAAAAACAACATGCTACCTTGAGCTCCTTTGAATGGAGGGATAGGATAAAAATGTAGTATCACTGCACTCAAGAGTCCCCCGCCTTCCCCCTTACCTAATGACTTGTTCCTGAGGTAGGTCAGGCGCACTTTCTCGGTACCAAAAATGCAAAGGGATCCCTCGAGGTTCAGCGCACGTACCTGTTCAAAGAGAAGGGCATTGTTCTAAGGCAGCCAGCAGCATGGGCTGCTACTATTAAACTTCCCTGAGGCAGAAGAGAAGAAGAAGAAGAGATTGGATTTATACCCTGCCCTTCATTACCCAAAGGTGTCTCAGAGCGACTTACAAGCTCCTTTCCCTTCCCCTCCCCACAACAGACACCCTGTAAGGTAGGTGGGGCTCAGAGAGCTCTGACAGAAACGGCTCTTTTTTCAAGAACAGCTCTTATCAGAACTGCAGCTTGCCCAAGGTCATCCAGCCAGGTGCAAGTGGAGGAGTGGGGAACCAAACCCGGTTCTCCCAGATTAGAGTCCGCACACTTAACCGCTACACCAAACTGGCGCTCTCTGGCTGTCAAGATAAAAGGCGGCTGGATGCAGGGGCCAAACAGCCCGCCCGTTTGATGTTCACCCCTGTTGGTGGGTAAACTAGGATAGCCGGATTTCCTGTATAATCAGACAACAGGTTTCTTTTGTTACATTGGCTCAAGATAATGCCTCTTGTAACATGGGGCTTGCTGTGTCAGGGGGCGTTATCATCTAAAAACATTGCTTTAGATCACATGGACCTGTTATGTTAAAACCAGCAGTTTGCCCTGATGTAAGAGACTTCAGATACCCTGACCTGGATAGCCTAGGATAGCCTTAACTTGCCAGATCTCGGAAGCTAAGCAGGGTTAGTATTTGGATGGTTCCTCTGCAGAGGCAGGCAAGGACAAATCACCACTGTTCGTCTCTTGCTTTGAAAACCCTACAGGGTTGCCATAAGTTGGCTGTGACTTGGCAAAAAATAGGAGGACTTCTGAGAGCACCATCCAGGTTGCATCCTCCCTGCAATAAAGGGGAATACAAGCTGGCCTGTATCTGTGACCCCCAGATAAAATGCAGCACTGGTCTCCTAAATGCAGAGCTCTTGCAATGGCAATGTGAACTCTGCTAAGAAGTGTGGAGGCTACAGGCCAACAGATGTGGCCAGAAGGAACAGTGGGCGGAAAAGGCTGGGTGGGGAGAGTTGCAGCCCAGCACTTCTGCCTCAGAGCCCAGCCAGGGAGAAGCCCCACTCCTGGTTGTCAGTAGTGCACTTGGGAGGTCAGCAGCAGCTGACATCTGCCCCGACCTCTCTTGCGTGGTCATCTTAACACCGGAGTTCACAATCAGGAGGATATAAAATGAAATTCTCAACCAAGGCATCAAGGAGCTAAGCCTCACCGAACGGCCACAAACAGCATGAAAGTTCATGGAATGTTCGTGCAGGTCACCCTTCCATGAACATCACTCCACAAACTGCGAACCGTCCAAAGTTCGTGACGAATTTTAGTTTGTGTAGTTCATGCCCATCCATAACGAGAGTGTAATCTAGCCTACACACCACATGCAGTCTAGACCAAACCCAAAGGTGTGCCAAGAAAAGATGCCAAGTTCTCTTTTTATTTCTTATTAACCATGCTTGACACAAGTACTTTGAAAATAGAGGAGACGCTGTTAGACAGAGCCAAAGGCAGGATGGGAGCAAGGCCAAAAACAACAACAACACCCAACTCACTTTTTTCAATGGCACTGTCTGAATCCACTCCGCTTTCCGGACGTCAAACACATCCACAGCATTCTCACTAAACACTGACAAATAAGGAGCGTTGTAACCTACAGTGGAGGGAAGAAGAAGCAACACGGACATGAAGACTTGCTTCCTGTGTTCCATTAGAATGGAACTATAACTGACACTGCAAAACCCTAGGTGACTGGGGGGTTAGGGTGATGCATGGACCCCCCCCCCCGAAAATGCCTTCAGGGCTCAGATCCTGAACCTGTTTTTCACAGCAGGGCTACCACGCCAAGGGCTGCATTAGTACCATCTTCTTCCTATGTCCCACTGTCTGGACTGAGAGGACAGTGTCTCTCCCAAGGTGATCTAAATCAGGGATACCCAAACGTTTTGAGCCTGTGGACAACTTTGGAGTTCTAACATGCCATGTTGGGCACAGCAACAAAATGGCTGCCACAAGAGGTGGAGCCAGCCACAAAATGATTGCCTCTTAACGTCTGTAACACCGTGCAGATCCTTGTGCTGTGGTGGCAGCTGCTATCAAAAGCAACAATTTAAAAAAGTCTGCAGAGCCAATTAAATCTCAACTAGACAGAAGTCTTCCTGGGCAAATGCCCTACCTGGCCCTGCCCACTTCTCAAAATACCTGGCAGGCTCCAGAAAAGATTTCTGCGGGCGCCATGGCACCGTCGGGGACCCTTACGCTAAGTGTCCAACCACTGAACGGATGTCCCCACATTTCAGCCTTGGACCATGTCTAGCCCTCGTGTAAACTCCAGTTCCTTCATTTTACAGACCAAGCCAGATTGGGAGCCAATGTAATGCAGTGCTTAGATGGTTGGGAACTGGGATCTGGGAGGGTCACGTTTGAATCCCCACTCTGCCATGGAAGCTCAGTGGATGACTTTGGACCAGACATGTCCTCTCAGCCTCATCTACTTGACAGGGTTGTTGGTGTGAGGGTAATATGGAGGAAGGGAGAATGCTGTTATTTGCAGCCACGGGGGGGGAAATGGGTACCGACTAAATAAATAAAATAAGCTTTGTCCTCAGCTGTAGGCCATGTGACAGGGATCCTGCGTCCCCACGAACCAAGCCCCGCCTCCCCCAACTTGAGGGCCACTCACAGCAGCTGAGGGGGGGAGCGGGCCACATCAGCTCCTGGGGGCGGCTCCTTCGCCCATGCCCATCCACGTAGAGTCCAAATCCGCTGAAGCAAAGGATCAGCTCGCTCAGGCTGACCTCCACGGCCTTGAGAGCTTCCATATGGGCCACAGCTGACGTCCGGGGGTCCTCGGCATGGGGAAGGTTCACAGGCGGCCCCTCGTTGAGCAGAGGGTAAAGGGAGAAGCCAGATGGGTAGCCCACGCAGAGGCGATCTCCCAGGACATCCAGGCACTGCACGTAGCCCTGAGCCTGAATCTCCTTGATGCGCCGGTGTGGAGGACGAGTGGCTGTCAGCTGGAAGCACAGGACCTGGCGCTTGCAGGCCACGCACAGCACAGGGGTCGTGCTGCGGCAAATGAGACCCGTGACCACCGCCTGGCAGCTCTTGGCCTCCACTACTTTGGTCCCCACAGCTTCCGGGGTCTCCAGCTCAGCCCAAGAGAAGATGCGGACGCTGTGGTTCTTGCCACACAACACGGACAGCAGCTGGGCCTGCGGTGAGACCAGAAGGAGTTGCACTTTCCGGCAGTCGCCAATCTGCAGCACATCTAAAGCATGAGGAGAAGAGGAGGAGGAGGAGGAGGAAGAAAAATTTTATGCCTCTCTTTTCACTACCTGTAGAAGTCTCAGCGCGGCTTACAATTGCCTTCCCTTCCTCTTCCCACAACAGGCACTTGTGAGGTAAGTGGGGCTGAGAGAGCTCTGAGAGAACTGTGATGGGCCCAAGGTCACCCAGCTGGCTTCACGTGGAGGAGTGGGGAATCAAACTCAGTTCTCCAGATTAGAGTCCACTGCTCTTAACCACTACCAAACTGGCGAGAGACTGGGAGAGGAGATCAGAACTCTCTGCAAGAGGACAGAGCCTTCAAACATCCTGTGGCTAGTTGCAATTCAAAGCCACCAAGGGCAGACCTGACGTTCCCATGGGTTCGAAGGATCAGCGTGGCCAAGAAGACTGGGGATCTCCATGCTGGAAGTGAGGAGCAGGGCTGGAGAAAGAGGCTGGGTCTTAGCGGTACAACATCTGCTTTGCACGCAGAAGGTCCCGGGTCCAGTTCCCAGCACCTCCCGTTAAAAAAGGGTCAGGTGATGTGAAAGGCTGCTACCTGAGACCCTGGAGAGCCACTGCCAGTTGGAGCAGGCAATGCAGGCCACGACAGAGTTGGCATAAGGCAGCTTCATGTGCTCATGAAGCAAGCTAGGAGCTGTAAAGGTAAAGGTAAAGGTTCCCTTGCTCGAAAGCCAGTCGAGTCCGACTCTAGGGTTGCGGTGCTCATCTCCATTTCAAAGCCGAAGAGCCAGCGCTGTCCGAAGACGTTTCCGTGGTCATGTGGCCGGCATGACTAAACACCAAGCCGCACGGAACGCTGTTACCTTCCCACCAAAGTGGTACCTATTTATCTACTTGCAATTTCTTGCTTTCAAACTGCTAGGTTGGCAGGAGCTGGAACTAGAGACGGGAGCTCACTCCGTCTTGCGGCAACTCGGGTCTCGAACTGCTGAACTAACGACCTTCCACAGCCTGCAGTTCAGCGTCTGAGCCACCGCAGCTGTAAGGAGCTGTAAGGGAGTTTTTAAAAAACATTCTATGATGTTCCAGCAGCTGGATTAGGGTGTCTCTACATGTGCACCATCACTTTTAAGATACCAGCTCTAGGATTTCGTTTCCTGCACAGATACAGCTCGCCCTTTCTGAGGCTTCTTTCCACAATCTCGGGGAGGAAGAGGAACATGCTGTCAAGTAATTTCCAACTCAGGCTGACCACCCCCCATGGTTGTTCCAGGCAAGAGGTGTTCAGAGGTGGTTTTGCCATTACCTGCCTCTGTGTAGTGACCCTGGGCTCCCCTGGTGGTCTCCCATCCAAGTACTGACCATAGCAAACTTGGCTTTGCTCCCAAGCTCTGATGGGCCTGGGCTCAAGTGGGCTATTCCAGCTGTTACAATCTCAAAACTGTCTTAGAAAAAGGCATCCCTTACCATTTGTTCGAAGGTGAATCAAAAACAGGCCATCCTCTGTACCCAGGGCGATTCGATCCCGGTCTGCAAAAGGATATAAGTTAGCATTAGAGAGCCAAACTTACAAACCACTGCTGGCAATGAGAATCCCCCTTTGCCTGCTGATAGTATGTTAGTAAACGGAGCACAAGATATCCCAGCCCTCAATACAAGCCACTGACAGGAGAAACTGGAGTCCTGAGGGCCTTAACTCTAAGGTGGGCCCTTTCCCCCCGTTACCTACCTATGATGGCTGCTGAGAGCGTATGGGGGATGAAGGGCAGACTGTTATCGTAGGCCTCCTTGAGGATGTAGACCGTTCGGTCATGGTGCCGGTTCTCTTTCAGGATGTGGTGCAGTTCGGTCAGCACCTGCACCCACTTCCTCATCTCAGCTTCGCTGTCGGCCAGGAAAAGCACAGAGCTGGTGGTGGTGGGGTAGCTCAGCTGGGAGGCCGTCACCTGGGGTGGCACAGAGGTAAGTCAAAGGGCTGGCCCCAGCAGGACTGAATCCTGGAGAGAACTCCAAGTTGCCCAATGGCTGCCACTGGACGGCCCTGCTTCAGCTGAACCAGAACAAGCAGGCCTCCCGACTGATTGACAGGCACGACACCACCTAGCCGTACGGGTTACCGCTGCCATTCCGCCCTGGAGTCCACATATCTGCCACACCACCCCATCAGCATGCGTCCCCACACCTCTCCCGTGTCTCCTCTCTCACCCGGAATATGCAGGGCACATCTTTGCTGTTGGCGTGGATGACGTCAGAGGCCAGAACTGGAGCCACCGAGAAATTCTCATCCCTTTAGCCAGGGGGGAAAAAGATCCTTTAGAGACGTTCCTCTCCCTGGCTACTAGAGTACGATGCAGGCCTACCCCTTTTGCTGAGTCAGGAGTGCTGGGGATGTCTCCCCCAAAGCACCTTGTGGATGGCGGAACCCTGGCAATGAGCCGGGGTGTGGAACTGGGTTCTTCCCTCTTGCGAGTCCTACTATTCTGCTGAAGAGGGGGGAAAGCCTGGAACTACACAAATATGCCACCAGAAGTCACATCCCCATGTCTGATAGTCTTCTTTTCCTCTCCATGCGTCATGAAATACCTGCCCCCAGGGGTCGTTTCATAGAAAAAGAGCTAGGGGAACTCATTAGCATAACTCATTAGCATATGCCACAACCCCTGACATCACCGGAAGTGTGTCATAAGGCCACACACCCCGCCCCCAACGGTCCCGGCTGCTGCTGCCGGCCTTGCAGCTCCATTGCCGAGCCCCATGAGGGAGTGCAAGGAAGCCCCGCGAAGGCCCTCCCTGGCCCCAGGCAGGCAGGGGTGGGGAGAGGCAGGGAGGAAGCAACTTGCCCTCCCTCTTCTCCTGCCTCCTCCTGGTTGAATGAGGGCCGGAAGCGGGGCGGCCGGAAGCAGGGGGTGGGGGCTTCGTCATGTGCCCCGCCCAGGGGAACTGCGATCCCCCGCGATCCCCCCCCCCCGAAATGACCCCTGCCTCCCCCGGGCGATCCCCCGCGATCCCCCCCCCCCGAAATGACCTCTGCCTGCCCCGTGTCCCAACACCACATCACTCTTGTTGGGCAGGTAGGGAAAAACACACCAAGGGGGTAGGGTTGGGACCCACTCGGAGGCACAGCTGTCTGGCAGACAAAGCAACAGCCTTCATCCGGTTAGTACGGGCTGGTCAGGGTACAAAGTGGAAATCTGGGTAACTTGGTGTAAACTCACCAAAGGATTGTTTCCCATCTCCCCCCTCCCCCCCACTTTTTAACCTCCTATTGGTGGAAGTTAATTTTATTACGTCCACCAGAAGGTACTGACTGTCCTGCACTCCCCAACTAATTACAACATCTGTCTGGCACCCAGGATTACGTACTATACTTATTAAATGTTACATCCACGAAACTGGGATCATGGACCAGTGAGTCATCACAGTTATTAGGATCCATCTATCCATTGGCTCTGCTTTGCATCCTTGCATGCCACTGACTGAACCATCCTGGGTGATTCCACACTCCCAGTTTATGCCCTCTAATTTCTATAAGAACATAAGAACATAAGAGACGCCAATGTTGGATCAGGCCAAAGGCCCATCCAGTCCAACACTCTGTGTCACACAGTGGCCAGAAATACCAGTGCCATCAGGAGGTCCAGCAGTGGGGCCAGGACATTAGAAGCCCTCCCACTGCTGACCCCCCCCAAGCACCAAGAAGACAGAGCATCACTTGCCCCAGAGCCCCTAGCTATACCTTGTGGCTAATAGCCACTGATGGACCTCTGCTCCATATGCTTATCTAATTCCCTTTTGAAGCCATCCATGCTTGTAGCACCCACCACTTCCTGTGGCAGTGAATTCCAAGTGTTAATCACTCTTTGGGTGAAGAAGTACTTCCTTTTATCCATTCTAACCCGACCGCTCTGCAGTTTCATGGAGTGCCCACGAGTTCTTGTATTGTGAGAAAGGGAGAAAAGTACCTCTTTCTTTACCTGCTCTTTCCCATGCATAATCTTATAAACCTCGATCATGTCACCCCTCAGTCGTCTTTTCTCCAAGCTAAAGAGCCCTAAGCGCTTTAACCTTTCCTCATAGGGAAAGTGTTCCAACCCTTTTATCATTCGAGTTGCCCTTTTCTGCACTTTTTCCAAAGCTATAATATCCTTTTTAAGGTGTGGTGACCAGAACTGCACACAGTATTCCAAATGAGGTCTCACCATTGATTTATATAGGGGCATTATTATATTGGCTGATCTGTTTTCAATACCCTTCCTAATAATCCCCAGCATAGCATTGGCCTTCTTTATTGCAGTCACACACTGTCTCGACATTTTCAGTGAGTTATCCACTACAACTCCAAGATCTCTCTCTTGCTCAGTCTCTGCCAGTTCAGACCCCATCAATGTGTATTTATATTTAGGATTTTTGGCTCCAATGTGCATCACCTTGCACTTGGCCACATTGAACCCCATTTGCCATGTTGACGCCCACTCGCCCATCCTTGACAGATCCCCTTGGAGTGCCTCACAATCCTCACTGGTTTTCACCACCCTGAACAACTTTGTATCATCCGCAAATTTAGCCACTTCACTGCTTACTCCCATCTCCAAATCATTAATGAACAAGTTAAAAAGCAGTGGACCAAGTACTGATCCCTGCGGTACCCCACTGCTTACCACCCTCCACTGAGAAAATTGCCCACCTACACTCACTCTCTGTTTTCTATGAACTAGCCAGTTTTTGATCCATAAAAGGACTTGTCCTTCTATCCCATGATTTTTGAGCTTACTTAGGAGCCTTTGATGAGGAACTTTATCAAAAGCTTTCTGGAAGTCAAGGTAAACAATATCTATTGGATCCCCCTTGTCCACATGTTTGTTCACCCCCTCAAAGAACATTAACAGGTTAGTGAGACAAGATCTTCCCTTACAGAAACCGTGCTGAGTCTGCCTCAATAGGTTTTGTTCATCTATGTGCCTACTAATTCTTTCCTTAATAATGGTTTCCACCAATTTAGCTTGTTCATTTCTCACATATTGCAGTTATGACCGGAAGCTTTGCCAGAAAGTAGCACGTGAGCTAGGGTGCAGTGAGAGAGAGAGAGAGACGGGCAGAGAGACATGTAGGGTTGGTGGCCCACCTACACTCACTCTCTGTTTTCTATGAATTAGCCAGTTTTTGATCCATAAAAGGACTTGTCCTTCTATCCCATGATTTTTGAGCTTACTTAGGAGCCTTTGATGAGGAACTTTATCAAAAGCTTTCTGGAAGTCAAGGTAAACAATATCTATTGGATCCCCCTTGTCCACATGTTTGTTCACCCCCTCAAAGAACACTAACAGGTTAGTGAGACAAGATCTTCCCTTACAGAAACCGTGCTGAGTCTGCCTCAATAGGTTTTGTTCATCTATGTGCCTACTAATTCTTTCCTTAATAATGGTTTCCACCAATTTAGCTTGTTCATTTCTCACATATTGCAGTTATGACCGGAAGCTTTGCCAGAAAGTAGCACGTGAGCTAGGGTGCAGTGAGAGAGAGAGAGACGGGCAGAGAGACATGTAGGGTTGGTGGCGCGGAAGCAAAGAAGTGGGACTGAAGGTTACAATTGTGGAGGAGAAAGCGAAAAATAGGCAACGGAGACAACACGGGAGGGGAATGACTTTCACCCCTACCTGATAATTAGGAAGATGTTGTGGGGAGAGGTTATTTATAACCTGCAGGTTCCTATCAAATACTTACAACTCTACCAAACACACGTGAAAATTTACTTCCCAAATAACAGTAAGCACCGCCCACCCTCTTCTGCCCAGGTCTGTCCTTGTTTCTGCACTTGGGCTGCTAGTAAACTGTCTTGCTCAGTGTTTTTGCACTGAGAGAAAAACAGACATCGGCACTGTGACATCAAACTACAATTTGTATATTATTTTCTGGGTGTACTCAGCTTCTTAATGCAGCTTAACACAAACTGTGAGCAAAGGATTATTCAATCAGGAAGCTACCGTACCCGCTAAAGGCATCAGGCTGGACTACATGGCCTTCCACAGTGCAGGGGCCAATGAGAGCCTGGAAGGCTCCTTCATCGCAAGTAGGACTCCCTGAACATTCGTAGACAGAGTCAGAGTGCTATTTCTTGCACCGCCTCCTGCGCACGGCATTTGCTCACCTCATATCTGTGACGTGCATGACGCCCACGTCGCACTGCCAAGTCTTTCCCTCTGGCACCTCAAACAGGAAAATCTTGAAATCGCTGATGACGGCAAAAGCCCTCTGCCAACCCTTCTTCACCCCAGCAGGCTTTGGCACCTGTTGGGAGAGGTGGTGTCACCTGTTGCATACCTCCACCAGCAGGGGGCAGAAAATAGGTAGGGCTCAATGGAAAGGACGTGACAGAAAAGCGAACCTCCGTTGCCTAGCTGGCATGGTGAGAGAAGCAGAGGAAAAAGACGGTGCCAGAAGAGAATCGTGGCTTCCCATCTCCTTCCCATCTCCAATTCTTCCCCTTTCATGTTTAACAGGGTTCCTACTCTGTCCCAGATGCTATTGTCTGTGGCATCAGAACCCAGTCACCTCTCCAAGATGGAGAATGAGAACTTCAGTGCCTGAACACACACTCATAGCACTCTTGCTCTAACACACGGGTCCCACTGCGTTCCCAGAGAATTCTGGGAATCTGCCAAAGCAGAGAGACTCAGACATGACCAGCAGGGCTTGGAATCCTCTCTGCCCTGCCGTGCCTTAGGCTGGGGTGGGGAAGCCCAGATCTTACCGACAGGAACCCCTCAAAGGCTGTCCCTGTTCCAGTCGTTGGGTTGACCCCCATGGTTTTCTGGAGCTGTTCAGGCGGTGCGGGGCAGATGGAGACACCCCCGGCACAGGAACCATGGCAGACGAAGTTGCAGGCTGAAAAGGAGGAGGAAATGTGCGCTCGGGGGCCAGTCGCCACACACCCAATGTGCTTTGTCAACAGGGACCCCTGAGTCACTGCAGAGGGCAGACAGGAAAGTTCAAACCCAGGTCCAGGGGAGGCTGTTTGGTGTAGGAAGGGAGGTTATGGCCCTTCTGGTCCTTCACTGTGGAGTTCCAGCAGTTTATAGATTCTGAGGTAAAATTTTTTACCCTTTCTTTGTTCTGAACATTTAATAGGCTGTGAGCGCCAGAAACACCCATCCTCCTACGAAATGAACCCCCACCTTGTTTCTTGGGGCAACACGGCCATGGAGTTCCGCTTCGGTAAAACCCTCCCGCTGTGCCAGGACCTGCTCTTGCCTCCTCTCCCACAACCAGGCCTCACTCACCCTCACAAGCCAAGCCTTGCCGGACCAGCCCAACCAGCAGTGATGTGCAGCGCATACATTTGGTGGGTGTGGAGAAGTTGTGTGTTTTGAAGCTGTGCGATTTAGGCTGGGGAAACAGGGCAAGAAAAAGATAGCTGTTTAGGAGGGGGGGAATGAGGCCAGCAAGAACTTCTTAACCCAAAGATTTACTCTTGAGATTCATGAGGCCTCAGCTCTGGACCTGCGAAGATATGTTTTTATCTACACAGAACACTTCTCCCTCAGTGAACTGTTTCAGGGGCATAAGAGCGTAAGACCAGCCCTGCGGGATCAGACTAGTGGTCCATGTGGCCCAGCATCCTGTCTCACACGGTGGCCAACCAGTTGCCCTAGAGGGCCAACAAGGAGCCACAGATGCCAAAGTCTTTCCTTGATACTGCCTCCTGGCCCTGCCAGTCAGGGATTTATTGCCTATGAGTGTGGATCTTGTCAGACTCCACCAGCCTCTGGGAACATGGTTTGAAAAGGTCTGGGGAAGGAGAGAAGCTATGGCCCAAGGTAAGCCAATGCAGGGGGAGCCACCTTCTGAGGACCTACAGCTCAAATCACACAGAATTCCAGCCGGTAGGAGATATTTATGCCAAGGTTCCGTTACCTTCAGGGAGTTGCTGTTGTCTGTGGTGGCCACCACCCTCTGGGCTGGAGGCACCTGTGGTGAAAGGCGGAAAAGGAAAGTTGCAGAGAAGTCATGGTCAGGAGCACAGCAACACAGTTGCTTTGCATGCAAGAGGCCCCCCGACCCAGTTTCTGGCATCTCTGGTTAAGAAGTCCAGCCTGGGACCCCTAAGGTTCTGATTTCAGACAGAGAGCCATCCCTGCTGGCTGCTGCTGCTTCTACAACTGTGGTGCTGTTACACCCCCCACCCCATGGAAAGCACTTCAACAGAAGGCTGCGCCTCACAGCCACAGAGAAAGGGAATATGGACTCTAGAGGAAGACCATCTTTCAGGGCTTGCCCATTTGGGATGGTCCCGCCCAGGACTCACACTGGACCGCAGGCTTCTCCTTCCCTCAGAGTGCAGCTGCTCGTCTTCCGTGGGCTTCTGGGTCTCCTGGGTCTCCGGGGAGCCACCAAAAGCAATGGCATCCTTCTGACAAACAAGATAATAACAAACGGCTGTAATCAGATACAACCCAGATTTTGCTAATCACACACACACCCTGTCTCTCTCTGTCTCTCTCACACTGAACTTTTGCCCTCTGATTCTGTTCTGTTAATTCAGATCTCCATGCAGCCATTCAAATGTACACTGATCCCCATTTGTTTCTGGCACCTTTCCCAAGTATTGTTTCCATTTGGATTTTAAGGATTTTTGAAGACACACAACCCGAACTGAATGCAAAATAATACTTAACACACCAATGTCTTTGTGTGTTAGAAAGCACCCTACGATTTGGGGCAGGGGGGCTTTTTTTCTTTACAAAAACCAAATACCCCTGAAAATTAAAGATACAAAGGTCAGTGAATTTAGTTCTGTCCAGGTTTCAGTTCGGAGAACCAAACCTCTCCACCAGCTCTGTTTCACAGTACAGGAAAACTCACATTGGCGCTTCGGAAAGAGAGGAAGGGGATGAGCGGGCCTTGGTGCTTGATACCTGCAAGAGGAGTGAAAAAGGAGATACTGGTGTAGCTTCAGTTCTTAGTTTTTTGATCCCACAGACAGAAGGGGGAGGACAACTTTCACAAACTCTCCCACCAAGCTGTTCTGGGGTCACCTTTCCACCAGGAGACACCATTTCAAGGAGTATTTTGGGCTGAGGGAGGGGGGGGATGTCCAACCCCATGGATGGAAACCCTTTCTGTTAATGGAAATCTTATGTGGACCCAAGCTGCTTCGAGCCAAGCTGAAAGGCAGGGTATAAACGTTTTAGTAAATAAAACAAATGAAAATAATTATTCTGATCATTATTCCTATTGGGCCATTTTGTGTATTTTATAGTGTAAGACAGGTGATCCTTGCTCTGAGGAGATTCCTGCCACGTTTGTCTCCTCAGAGAACATTCTTCCCCCATGAGGGCTCTCCAGGGCAGACATTTTTCTGAACCCAAAACAGGGAAAATGAAAACAAATGAAAATAATTATTCTGATCATTATTCCTATTGGGCCATTTTGTGTATTTTATAGTGTAAGACAGGTGATCCTTGCTCTGAGGAGATTCTTGCCATGTTTGTCTCCTCAGAGAACATTCTTCCTCCATGAGGGCTCTCCAGGGCAGACATTTTTCTGAACCCAAAACAGGGAATTGCATCCAAAACTTCACAATATCATTTGAATGTCTATAAAAGTCTCCCCAGAAGCAGAGAAAGGTCTTTCCCAATACCTGAGATTTTCTAATTAGAAATATCAGGGATTGAACAGGGGACATCTGGCGTATGAAGTATGCACACTGCCACGGGTGGTTTTTCTTCTGGCAAAACACAAGCTATTTCCTCTGCTGGGTTCTGACTGATGTGGACGCAGATGCAGGTATACAGACACAAACCGTACTCCTTTGTCAAGAAGTGGCATGATATTTTATAGCATAAACATTCAGAGATTTTTTGTAAATAATTAATCTGTTTGCCCCTCTGAGGTCCATTACCAAACAAATGCTCCCATCCCCCCCCTTTTTTTTTAAGGATCATGAAGTAACAGGAATAGAATCCACAGATGTTGTGAATGTGGGAGCAGTTTTAGTAGTCAAGATTAAACCTCTGTAAAGAGAGCCTGAGAAGGGATGATTGTAAAGGAAATTTGGTCTGGGGAAAATTCAGACTCAGAATATGCCACAGAAATTCATGATAAATGATGGGAAACAGGGCAAGAGGGAGGTCAGATAACTGCACATATATAAAAAAAAGTAGGGATGACTAAACAAGGATTAGAAGAGAAATTCCTAAAGGCTGAAACAGAGAGAAAAGAAAAAGTCAGAAGACAAGTGAGGAGGAAAGGCAACTGTCCTTCCCCTTGAGGCATGCACAGAGGATTGCATCCTCACACGAGGAAGGAAATTGCACACCAGTTCTCAGGCGACAGATCTAGAACTTTCCAGAATTGCCTTCTGCATTGGCTCATGTGTGACTACGTAAAGAATCATCAGTTACACGTAACTGCATAGAGGCCATAGGGTTGCCAACTCCAGGTCCGGAAATTCCTGGAGATTTGGGGGGTGGAGCTTGGGGAGGGTAGGTGGGGGAGGGGAGTAACCTCAGTGGGGTATAATGCCATAGAGTCTAGTCTCCAAAGCTGCCATCCAGGGAACTGATTGTTGTAGTCTGGAGAACAATTGTAATTCCACGAGATCTCCAGGCTCCAACTGGAGGTTGGCAACCCAAGGGCATGAAGATGTGCCTCTACTAACATTTGCCCTTTCCACACACACACAGACATGCACACACACACAAGTAAGTCTCTTCCATATCTCAATTTAGGAGGTAAGTTCCTCAGGGCAGGGAACTGTGACCCATACTGTGTACTTAGGAGCCAGGGCTCCATCTCGCTTGGAAGCTATAGCCTCCAACTTCCATCCCTGTCCCCCTACACCCACATCTGTCATGATCAAGGCTCCCTCTAAGCTGTGGAGTGTTGTGAGCAAAAATGCTACTTTGTGAGCCACTGGCATTAAAGTTGTGAGTGAGCGATTTGGCTGCTGCACAAATTAGTTTGCTCTGGAGCCATCCTTCCTGAGCTGAGACAAAAATGTGTGAGCCGGAGGCTAAAAAACTGTGAGCTACCTCACACCAACTCATCTTAGAGGGAACACTGGTCATCATCTGGCTATGGTCTCTTTCCAGCATCAATACTTCTTCACAGGCTCTGAGCCACAGCATCTGAAACACTGGCGTGCATCCAGGCCTAGGCTGGAAGAAGAGCCTGTAGCCCAAAGGAACTTTCCTCCAGCCACTCAAGGTGAAGAAGAGAAGAGATTGGATTTATACCCCGCCCTTCACTACCCAAAGGTGTCTCAAGGTGAAGAAAGAGGCAGTTAAGTCGGAGGAAGGCTCCTGAGGGGGGAAAAGGTTTTCCTCAGTGGAGTGGTAGGCCAGTGTCTGTTATGGTGCCCAGGGCTCACTTCTGAGAACCATACTAAAGAGGGACAGGGTGATGTAGTTATTCTCTCTCAGACGAATTTTCCCTCTTTCTTGGGGTTGTTGTGAGGATAAAACAGAGAAGGAAAGAGCCGTGTATGTGGCCCTGAGCTCCACAGAGGAAGGGTGGGAGGGGAAAAATGGCAGCAAATCAATAAATAATGAAGCCCACACATTTCCCCACTGATGTTCGAATGCCCTCCGGTGCCTTGCACTTCTACACACGCATGTGCACCCTCACCTTCCAGCGACTGGGCTTTCATCTCCCCCTTCAGCTTCTCCAGCTCCAGACGCAGCCCCCGGTTCTGCTTTTCTGCTTCCTGCAACTGGCTTTGGGACACAAGTTGGGAGCAAAGGGGAAGGAGAAATGTTACTTTACAGCATCAAACCAAACAATAACAATAGTAATTAGTATTATTGTTTGGCATTGTGTCTGTATGTAGAATAGCCAGGAGATCCTGAGATTGTCTGGCAGATGGCTGTTAGTCATAAGCACTAAACAAAACCTCCACATTCAGAGGCAGTCTATCTGTGAATACCAATTGCCACGGCACAACAGCAAGGGGGAGATTTTGGCCTATGTGCCCTGCTTGAGGGCCTTCCAGTACTATATTCCCAGTCATTGTGGGAAACAGGATCCTGGACTAGGTCAGCAATGTGTCAGATCCAAGAAGGCTCTTCGTGAGATGTTCTTATGGAGTTATGGAAATCCCTGCTCATTCCTTGGCCTTGTGCCATATTTTAGTATGAACCCTGACTAGATCCATTCAATCACCCACATGGCCAGATTGGCCAACTCTTCTGCTGTGTTTCGCTCTTCTGCTGAGTCAGACCCATGGGCACATCACGGTCTGCCTTGTCTGCTCAGACTGGTCTCAGCCAGATGTCTTTCGCATTACCTATTTCCTGATCCTTTTATAGCTGCCGATGCCGAAGACTGAACCTGGGACCTTCTGCACGCAAAGCAGATGCTCTGCCACTGAGCCACCATCTCTCTCCCTGGGACTAATGACCTCCAGGTTAAGAACCCAGGCTCTAACTGGAGACGCTGGGGACTGGACCCTGGGACCTTCTGCTCGCAAAGCGGGTGCTCTGCCAGTGAGCCATGTGTCCCCACCAACAGCCATGTGATGTCCCTCCTCCCACTCACCGTTCGGCTGCCACATGGGCCACCTTCAGTTTGTCGAGCTCCTCCTGGACACCTTGCTTGGCCCGGATCTCGGCCTCCAACGCTGACTGCAGCTCCAGCTTGGCCGAGGCCTCCACTTTCTGCAGGCGCCGAGCTTTCCAAAGGCTGTCCTGCAGAGGGAGAGAAAGGCAGGATGCCTCCAGAGGGGAACGCAGCAGACTGGGCCACTGTGGAACCACCCCACAGAGAGCACGGGGCGGGGAGGTGGGGGGAGCTGATCTCAGACGAGCGCTGTCCTACCGGCGTCTTTGGCCCAGGGCTCTGCGCACCAGCCTGCTTCATGCTCTCCACTTCCTCCATCATGCGCGTGGCCATGGCCTGGAGGTAGCCCCTCGATTCCTTTTCATCATTCACCCTGAGGCAACGGAAAGAAGCCAGCAAGGCTGAGGAGAAACCCCAACCAATGTCTCCCCAGCAATGGGGCCCCCCCCCCGAATCCTCCTGTCCAGCCAGGGCTTCCAAGCACCCTTCTGCACCCTCCTCCTTCGCCACAGTCCAGAACAGAATCCAGAAGCCCCACTAGGCCTGCTCCCTCTCTGATGGCGGAGAATCACATGAGCACACCAGTGTTCCCTCTAAGCTGAGTTAGCGTGAGCTAGCTCACAGTTTTTTAGCCTCCAGCTCACACATTTTTGTCTTAGCTCAGGAAGGAGGGCTCCAGAGCAAATTAATTTATGCAGGAGCCAAATCGCTCGCTCACAACATCAATGCCAGTAGCTCACAAAGTGGAATTTTTGCTCACAAGACTCCACAGCTTAGAGGGAACATTGGAGCACACCTGAAGCTGCTTTATACTGAATCAGACACGTGGTCCGTCGAAGTGAGTATTGTCTACTCAGACTGGCAGGGGCTCTCCAGGGGCTCAGGCAGAGGTCTTTCACATCACCTACTGCTGGGTCCTTTTAGCGGGAGATCCCAGGGGTTGAACCTGGGACCCTCTGCATGCCAAGCAGACGCTCTGCCACTGAGCTTCTTTATTTCCTTAGGTTTTGCTTCTTTCCCCAAGTTGTCCTCCAAATACCAGTGTGTGTTGACCACAGTCTCCCTTTCCTGCCACTTTGTGTGGGCTAAATCTCTCTTCCTCCCTTCCACTTGGGAGGGGGGGATACACAATGGCTTCAGTTCAACACACACACCCCCTTTTGCAACACTGTCCCTTGCCAACTATGTCAGAAAACCTGTTGCATGGCCTGTGGGAAGGTGCTGAGGCTCAGGTTGGCTCTGCTCAGTCTGTGGTTGCTCAGTAGAGGAGGGAAAGTGCTCGGCTCATGCTCAGATGCACCCTTGCCTTTGACTGCATCACGTGTATCCTGTGGATAAGCCCTCACTCCAAACCCAGCCCCAGGTCAGCGGAGGCAGCCAGTCACTCACCACCGCAAGATGTCAGTGATTTGCATCTCCCAGTTGGCAAAGGCTTCCTTGCGAGACTCCAGGGTGCACGGGTCCTGATCCAGGCTGTGGTCGACAGCACCAGATGAGTCCACCTGACACAGCAAGGGAAACCTGTCATATACCTGATAACAAGCTTCCCTCCCTCCTTCCTTCCTATCACGGTTGCTGGTCACCACTTTGGGTTCAGGAAGCAATTTTTCTCCAGGCCGGTTTGGCCGGGGATCCTGGAAGTTTTTTGTCTTCTTCTGGGCATGGAACAGGGGTCACTGGTGTGTGTGTGTGTGTGGGGGGGAGGTATTTGTGAATGTCCTGCATTGTGCAGGGGGTTGGACTAGATGACCCTTCCAACTCTATGATTCTATTCTAGGATTCTATGGTTCAAGGCCAGGTCAACTGCGAGGACAGAGACCTATAAATCCAAGCCTCCCCTCAATTTTCACATCTGCATTCAGGCTCTTGGGAATCCAGTCTAAAGATTTTTTAAAAAATATTAAGTGAAGTTGCATTCCATGCTTCACCATTTTGGGGAGGCTGAATATTTTCTGGCTCTTTTGGAGCCTTGAGGATCTGCTGCGCCCAAAGTCCTCAGTCCGCAGTGGAGTGATAACACTGAGGGTGACAGCCGAAGCGCTCCCACCAACCTGGTCCCAAACTTGTAAGGTGCTTCGGCTGCTGCCGGCTGCAAACTCTTTGTTCTGGTCTTTTGGGTCCAGGTTTTTCCATCTGGAAAGGAAAAGCTCTTTAAAGGCATGAAGAGGAAGAGTCTCCCTCCCAAACTCTTCAGCCAGAGCTGAGGACAGAGCTGGGAAACCTAACTTCGCAGTTCCCTGCCCTGTTCCAACTGATCAGACATGCACATATGCACACCCAAGGGGTACAAGGAGGAGATTGGATTTATACCCCGCCCTTCACTCAGAGTCTCCGAACGGCTTACAAACTCCTTTCCCTTCCCCTCCCCACAACAGACACCCTGTAAGGTAGGTGGGGCTGAGAGAGCTCTTTCCAGAACTGCTCCTGAGAGAACAGCTCTGAGAGAACTTGTGACTGACACAGGGTCACGCCAGCAGCTGCATGTGGAGGAGTGGGGAATCAAACCCGGTTCTCCCAGATTAGAGTCCGTGCACAAGCTATAAACCCAAGCCTCCCCTCAATTTTCACACCTGCATTCAAGCAGAACACCTTGTAGGCTTAGGGTAAGGGTGGGGTCTCTCTGGCCACTCACCGCTCCGACTTGGCTTTCTCCAGCTGTTCCCGGAGCACAGCCAGCTCACCCTGGAGCGCCACCTGCTGCTTCTCCTTTGCCTGCAGTGCCGCCCGCAGGGCACGCACCTCTTCTTTGGGGTTACATGAACCAACTGTGGCTCGCCTGGATCCAGGAGCCTGCAAAGGGGCCGTGCCTTGTTTCACCTGCAGAGGGCGGCAAACATGTCACCAGCAGGGTGGGACCACCCACAGTGGATGAATTCCACTACTCCTTTCCCCCACTTACCCTGGACTCCTCCAAGTCCTGCTTCAGCTTCCTCAGCTGCTGCTCCGCCTTCTCCTTCCCTCTCCGCTGCCTGGATACTTCATTCATTAGACCCTCGATCCGAGCCTCCAGCTGCAGGGGTCGAGAGGGAGAAGACGCCTCAGCCTCTGCTAACCCCACTGCAACCCAAGGTCCAAGCCTTCCTTGGAGAAGCTTCTGGAATCGCTAAGCCTCTGGAGGATAGGCTAAGGCCCCACTTCCTGTCCTGAGGCCCCTTTGTGGCTTTGAGCAGGGCTTAACTTGAGCCACGTACAGTTCTGTGTACAGTTCTGGTCACTGTGTCTCAAAAAGGACACTGCAGAGCTGGATAGAGTGCAGAGGAGGGGCAACCAGGATGATGAAAGGGTTGGAGCAGCTTCCCTGTGAGGAAAGGATGAAGAGTCTGGGGCTTTTCAGTTTACAAAAGAGACAACTAAGGGGGGACATGATGGAGGTTTATAAAATTAATCATGGTGTGGAGAGAGTTGACAAATTTTTCTCCCTCTCCCAAAATACTGGAACTCGTGGGCATCCAATGAAACTGATGGGCTGTAGGTTCAGGATGGACAAAAGGAAATGCTACTTTACACAGAGAGTGATTCAAATGTGGAATTCGCTGCCAGAGGATGTCGTGATGGCCTCAGGTACAACAAGCTTTAAAAGGGGACGAGATAGATTCATGGAGGAGGAAGAAGAGATTGGATTTATACTCCGCCCTTCACTATCCGATGGAGCCTCAGAGAGGTTTACAATCTCCTTTCCCTTCCCCTCCCCACAACAGACACCCTGTGGGGCTGAGAGAGCTCTTTCAAGAACTGCTCCTGAGAGAACAGCTCTGATCGAACTGTGACTGACCCAAAGTCATACCAGCAGCTGCATGCGGAGGAGTGGGGAATCAAACCCGGTTTTCCCAGATTAGAGTACGTGCTCCTCACCACTACACCAAACTGGCTATCAATGGCTACTAGCCCTGGTGACTGAGGGGAACCTCCACATTCAGAGGCACTGATCCTCTGAATCCCAGAGCCAAGAGGCCTCAGCCTCTCTGCCATGTTGCTGGCTGTCCAGAGGAACTGGTTGGCCACTGAGACAGGATGCTGAACCACTGGTCTGATCCAGCAGGGCTCTTCTTAGGTTCATGGCCGATAAATAGGGTTGCCAACTACCAGGTGGGGCCTAGAGATCTCCTGGAATCACAACTTTTCTCCAGACGACAGAGATCAGTTCCCCTGGAGAAAATGGCTACTTTGGAGGGTGGACTCTACGGCACTATACCTCATTGAGGTCCCTCCCCTCCCCAAACCCCTCCCCTCCCCAGGTTCTACCCCCAAATCTCTACGGATTTCCCAACCTGGAGTCGGCAGCCCCACATAAAGGATCAGACCCAGAACACAAGATATTAACAAAAACTGACCACTGCCTGTAATTGTTGTCCAAATCCTCGCAACTCCCCAGGCCATGTTATGCCTCTGGCTCTTTATAAGGGCCCCCCGGTGACGCTCAAACAGCATTCCACTCCACCAGGTCTATCCCCCAGTTGGGGGGCCAGGCAGCTACCTCCTTGCGGCCACTCTCCGTGCGGGCCAGTTCTTTGCGCAGCCCTTCCACTCGCCGCGCCGCAGATTCCGTCTCCTCCTGCCGTTCCCGCAACTGCTTGGAGTGTCGCAGCAGCTGGGCCTGCAGTTCCCCACACTTGGCCTCTGCTCGGTGTAACTCCTGGCCCGTCTCCTTCTGCCGGCATTGTTCTTCCCGCAGCTCCCAAGCCTGAGCTTGCATCTGCTCTTGGGCCTCAGCCAGTTCCTGCCCCCAAAGAAAGGCAGCGTACGAGCGGATCAGACTGGCTCCACCAGACAGGGTGCTGCACCCAGACATCTGTGATCTGGCTAAACTGGGGCAGAATTTGCCAGCAACTCTGAATTTGGCCCAATCCTGACATTTAGTTTGGTAAAAAATAATAATGTGGTCTTCATTGCTGAGAGGAATGTATTTAAAACCAGTTGTCCCCTTTGTTTATCACACAGACTCTAGAACTCCCTCCTACCGTGTTTCCTAACTCCCCATCCTCAAACGTCCTCATTCTTCTCCAGCAGCTAAAACATGGCCTTTGATTCTCTAGAGTGGTCATATTTGGGTTTAATTGTCAGTTAAAGGTTGATACATAGGTGCACACTCCGAGAGTTCTGATAGCCATGGTCAGAAAGAAGTATTAAACTTGCATTCCTTGGATGCGTGTGCTTAAATGTTTAAGAAAACCCTCACACAATCCAGTTCTTTTGCCATACGGGATATCTGGAATGCCTTCAAATCAACCTGCCTCGGCCCTAACACATGTTTGTTTATATGTCATAGTGTGCATGTATATACAAAAATATGACCACTTAGGAAGGCCTTGGAGAACGAAACGCATTTGGTCCTGTTTTAATGTGGTTCAAGGTTATCAACCTAGATATATTGAATTACTGGTCCTATTTTATCAGCCTTTTCTATCCTGTTTCTAGCCTTTTAATCTAGAAATATCAAAATGTATCAGGTTATAGAGATTATTCATCAATTGGCAGATTATGCCAATGTTCTTGAAGTACAGTTTTAGAGCACTCTGTAATAACTACATGTATTTTGTTAATTTATATATACATATTTTTTTAAAAAAATTCTCTCACCCAACCTTTGGGTACCCAATTTTGTTGCTTCTTAAGGTTGGGTTTCCCCCCTTCTGTTTCGACTTGCTAAACAGACGAGGACACAGATGTTTAGAGCAGAGTTTGAGACCCTCTCTGATGGAGGGGACCATGATATTATGACAGTACAGTTCCTACAATGATCCCCAGTGGCTCCCCGTACCTGAAGGGCCTCATTCTTCTCCCGCTCCAGTATCTTCAGTCGCTCCTCCAAAGTCTTCACCTGCCCTGATGCCACCCTGTCCAGGTGCTGCCTCTGGACCTCTGCAGTCTCCAACCGATTCTCTGCAAGGAAGGAAAGAAACTGTGTCCACCCGCCCAAGATACTATCTAGAAACCTCCTTTCAGCTATGGACCCCGGTCCCTCCCACTGCTTGCTCCGCAGCAAATAAGAAAGGGTAAAATAGCTACTGCTATGGGACCAACCCAGGTTAGATACACGCTCTCCTGTTTGACAGAACTCTGTTCCATCGGGAAACAACTCCCGTGACACTCAAAAGCCTATGCGAACCCCAGCTGGCCTAATAAAAAGGATAATTTTGCTCACTTCTTATCAGCAGCCAACAGCCCATGCAAAAATTAATTTCCGAAATGAAGGGTCCACATTCCCTGACACAGAATCCCTACGTCTTAAACCCAGAGAGGGTGCCATCCAGCAGTGAAAGCGCTCGCATGCCCATTGTTCTTTCCTGGATGTTCCAAACAGCCTTAGGACAGAAATCTGGCTCAAACCAAGCCCCCACCTCCCCACTCTAGAATGGGACTACTATGCTTTGAATAGATGAATAAAAGAGACAAATTCCACTTTGCCCATTGGAGAAGTGGCCCCTGACAACACTTCTCTCTTGTGTCCATTTGTTAACTGCCCAGAAAGGAGGCTCTGCCTGTACCCAGGGCACACCCAGCCTGCCAGCACCTGCCAACTGTTTCCGCAGACTCTCCACCTCATTCCGGAGACTCCTGACCTCAGAGTCCTTAGCTGGTGCCTTGGAAGGTGATTTTGCCAGAGAATCTGTGCAGGGAGTCAGAAGGTGGAAAAACAGAGAGAGAGAGAGAGAGAGAGAGAGAGAGAGAGAGGGGTTTATCTCTGCTCATAGGTGCTGTCAGGAGAGAACCCTTCCATCGCCACCGCC